ATGGACTTCAAATACTATAGCTGTCAATGGATTTGCTATGTAATCACGTGTAGAACTTTGTATGGGTGTCTTCAACCCTTTCTCTTCCACTAGCAACCCGAATAACACCTGACCTTTTGGTTGGCTAGAGTAAGTGGCCGGCTACCTTTCTTTCTTGCTGTGGTGTGATTGGCTGAACAGTCTTTTATTAAAAGTTGAAATGTAGATTGAAATCACATGAAAAATCACCTTTGGTTATAAACCTCCAACATTTTGATCCTCCATCCATGTTTTTGTCACATGCGGGGTAAAAAGCACCTCACAATGCCAAAATTGTACAGTACTTATGTTCCCAAGTAGCGTCCTCATCTTCTGGGTAGAAATTACATTGTGCTAGGAATATGCAGAAAAATGGACCTCAGAAGTGGATTTACCGCTCATCTGTTAAGTCCTTAACTACAGTTTTAACAAGCATGACATTGCTAAGTATATGACATGTACATCATTTCAAAAAATACTGCCATGACTATCTTTTATGCATATTTTAGCTTCAAATTTTGAATCATCTTTTCTTTCTTTCCTTTCCCCTTCTTCTCATTTTGCTTCATTTTCATTATTGATATTAAACAGTGTTATCTTTGCAAACATATATCAAAGGTTGTTCTGGAGCATTTATTGCCTTTCTGGAAACGTTCGTAAGAAATGTTCTTTAAATGGGAACCCTCTTGCACTCTTGGTGGGGATGCAAACTGGAGAACAGTATGGAGGTTCGTCAAAAACTAAAAATGGAATTACCCTACAATCCAGCAATTGCACTACTAGGTATTTACCTAAAGGATACAGAAATACAGATTCAAAGCGGGTACATGCTCCCCAATGTTTATAGCAGCGCTATCAACAATAGCTCAACTATGGAGAGAACCCAAATATCCATCGACTGATAAATGGACAAAGAAGATATAGATATAGATATAGATATAGATATAGATATAGATATAGATACACACACACATATCTCCATACATACATACACACACACACACTGAAATATTACTCGGCAATGAAAAAGAATGAAATCTTGCCATTTGCAATGACATGGTTGGAGCTAGAATGTACCATGCTAAGTGAAATAAGTCAGTCAGAGAAAGACAAATACCATATGATTTCTTCACTCATGTGGAATTTAAGAAACAAAACAGATGAACATATGGGAAGTGGGGGGCAGTTTTGTTCTAACAGACATTTAGGTTAATTGTAAAGATAAGGAATGCATTATGGGTCGAAATCAAATATTCCTGTCACATCTATTTTGTTCCTGGCTTACTGGCTTTATTTTCAAAATTGAAGTTTGTAGTTTCCTTTTATTGGCATTCTTGCATACACTGTTCATTCAATAAATGAGTTATGACTTTCAAAAATAGTCTATTATGTCTTATATAAATATTGCCACCCCTACTTTCTCTTCTTTCTCATTTTCATGGAATATCTTTTTTCTATGTTTTTACTTTCAGTCTGTGTGTGTCTAAAATCTGAAATGAACCTTTTGTAGGCAGCATATAGGTGGGGGTTTTTTGTTTGTTTGTTTTTGAGAGAGAGCTCATAGGGGAGAGAGGCAGAGAGAGAGAGAGAGAGAGAGAGGGAGAGAGACCGAGAGAGAATCTTATAGCAACAATGTGGAGCTCGATTCCATGACCCTGGGATCATGACCTGAGCAGAAACCAAGAGTCGGAGGCTCAGCCAACTGAGCCACCCAGGAGCCCCAGGATGGTCTTGTTTTTTTAATCCGTTCAGCCACACTCTGTATTTTGACTGGGGCATTTAATCCTTTTACATTTAGTATCGATATGTATGTATTTATTGCCATTTTGTTCATTGTTTTCTGGCTGTTTTGCAGTTCTTCTGTATTTCTCCTTCTCTTGCTCTCTTCCCATGTGATTTGATGACTTTATTTAGTGTTATACTTGGATTCCTCTCTTACTACCTTTCGTGTATCTATTTTTAGGTTTTTGGTTTGTGGTTACCATGAGGTTTGTGTATGGTAACCCATGTATGTAGCCGTCTATTTTTAGTTTCTTATATTCCTTTTTTTTTATGTTGAGGTTCTCGCTGTGTTCACCCATTCTTCTCCCAAGTTTTGTAAGCACATTTATGACCATTACTTTGAATTCTTTGTTGGATAGATTGTCTATCTCCATTTTGTTTAGTTCTGACTCAGAAGTTTTGTCTTACTCTTTTGTTGGGAGCACAATCCTCTGTCTCCTCATTTTGCCTAACTCTCTCTGTTGGTCTCTATGTATGAGGTAGTCCAGCTTTGGCTCCCACTTTTGCAGGCATGGCTTTAAGTAGGCGATGTCCTGTGGGGCCCATGCATGCAGTGTCCCCTGACAGCGGAGACCGGGGCTTTAGTGGCACCCCAGTGTGGGCTACTCACGCTCCCCTGTTGTTGGAGGGTCATGACTTGTCTGGGTGTGCCTGTGGCTGGCCGTGAACCTGGCCAGGACTGCGGCTGGTGGGAAGGGCTGGTTTCCAGCCCAGCGGACCGCCACGCCCAGGGAGGGTTGCTGTGGGTGTGCTGGTGGGTGGTGCTGTTGTACTGTTGGCTCGAGGTCTGCCAAGGTGCAGGGCTGCAAGTGGTTCCCTCAGCACGGTGTCACCAGTCCAGAGGGAGGATTGCAGAACGGAACCCGCCAGGGATGGGGTCAGCATGGCAGAATGAGAGCAAAAACTGCTGCTGCCAGTGTGTGTTGGTCCCCAGCGAGAGGCCCAGCTGCCTCCCGCGTCTCTGGCAGGTGCTCCAAGGTTAGTAAGCAGGTGTCCTTCACCTGTGGCACGTGCACTTTTAAATCGGACGTGAGCCCTTTCAGAGTGTTCCCTTCCCTACAGTTTTGTCGTTGTCCTGGATGTATTGCCCGTGAGCGTTTAAAGCCAGGCATTCGGGGGGCTCATGTCTCCTGTGCAGGATCGGGACAGTGCCAATCTGGAGCTTGAATCTCTTACTCCTCAGGGAAACTCCCAAACCTGAGCCACACCAGATCTCCGCCTCTTTCGCCTCATCTCAGTGCCGGCGGAGGCTCTGTCCTCCCAGTCTCCAGGCCCCCTTCGGAGGGAATTCTTCCATATACAGGTGCGGATTTGTTGTGTCCACGGGAGGAGGTGAGCTCCGGACGTGCGTCTGCCACCACCTCCAACCCTCGACCATCATGTGTTTTCTTTTGCCTTCTGTGCCACCGTGACCTCGCACAGAACTGATAAACACAGACGTAGCTGGTTCAGCCTGCTTTACACGGTGCACAGAAAGCTTTCGAATCCAACACAGAACTTTGGCTAAGTGAGTCATTCAATCAAGTAAAACAACAGATTTTGAGGGGTTCTCT